TTAAAGAAAGGAAGGAAGGAAGGAATGACAGATGAAAGAAATAAAACAAAGAGAGAACTTGAAGAAAAAGAAATGAACATCTAAGGAGAAGTAGAGAGAAGATATGTAGAAAATGAAGGAAAAGAGTAAAAAAGAGAAAAGATAAATAAAGATGAAAAAATGTAAAAGTAGAAGAAAAAGAACAAAGATGGCAAACAAAAGAAAACAATCGAGATAAAGAAAGTAGAAGAGGAAAGGAAAGAAAGAAAATATGAAAAAAAGAAACGAGATCGAAGAAAAAAGAAAAATAGATGAAAAGAACGTTATGTAGAAAGAACGAAAAGGCGAACGAAAGAAGAAAAATAAAATAAAAAAGATAAAAAGAATGAGCGTTGAAGTAAAAGGTGAAATAGTAGAAAAAAAAAGAAAATATTTAGAAAGAAAGAAGGGAAGAAAGAAAATGAGATAAAAAAGAACGTCGAGGGAAAAAGAAAAAAGTTCAAAGAAAAAATATGTAGAATGAAAGAATGGACGAATGAAAGAGGAAATAAAGAAACATGTGATAGAAAAAAAAGATCGTCGAAGAAAAACAAAAACAGATGAAAGGAACGAATATGTCGAAAGAAAGAACGAAAGAAAAAATGAATGAAAGAAAGAAAAAATGATGCCCCAAAAAGAACGTCGACAAAAATAGAAAACAGATGAAAGGAACGAATGTGTAAGAAGAACGAAGAAAAGAATGAAAAAATGAAAAAAGTAAAAATAAAAGGAAGAAAAAAGGGATCCAAAAAAGAAGGTCGACGCAAATAGAAAACAAATGAAAGGGCGGAATATCTAGATAGAAAGAACGAAAGAAAGAAGGAACAAACGAAAGAATGAATGAAAGAAAGAAAAATGCGATCCAGAAAGAACGACGACGAAAATAGAAAACAGATGAAAGGGAGGAATATGTAGAAAGAAAGAACGAAAGAATGAAATAAATAATGATTGAAAGAAAGAAAAATGACATCCGAATAAAACGTAAACCACAATAGAAAGCAGATGAATGAAAAAATATGTAGAAAGAAAGAACGAAAGAAAGAAAGAATCAAAGAAATAACGAATGAAAAAAAGAAAAATGAGATAAAAATCGTCGACGACAATAGAAAACACATGAAAGAAAGAAATATGTAGAAAGAAAGAAGGAAAGAAAGAAGAACGAAAGGAAGAAGAAAGAAAGAACTAAAGAAATAACGAATGAAAGAAAGAAAAATGAAATCCGAAGAGAACGTCGACGAAAAAAGAAAACAGATAAAAGGGAGGAATACGTAGAAAGAAAGAAAGAAAGAAAGAAAGAAAGAAAAATGAGATCCAAAAAATAACGTCGAAGAAAATAGATGAAAGAAGAAATATATATATATATATATATATATATATATATATATATAAACAAATATCGAAAGTAAATAAAATAAAAAAATGAACAAAGAATTAGGATAAACCAAAGCAAAAGAAATGTGAGAAGCAAATGGAAAGGAGGAAACAGAAAAAATATATATAGAATAAAATAGAAAGAGAAACTGCAAGAAAGAAGAATTGTAGAAGTATAAATAAAGAAGATAACTCAATAAAGAGAAGAAAAGCAAAACTGATAAAATTGTCTGTAACTGCAATTGATTTCACCCGTGATCAATATTGCCATGAGGCATTGATTTTCTATCGTCATTTCTGAACGAGGAAAAGATATGAACCCTGTCAACCAAGTAATGTCATTGTTATGTAGGACTGTTGCCTGTCAGAAATTCTTTTTAGACGCCAATCATTACGATTTGGCGATAAGAATTAAGGGATTCAATTTCCCTTATTATTCCTGTCATTATTTGTTTAAAACACATGACATATAATCAATATTTGGAATGCAAATTAATGTTTTTAGGGGTTAGAAACTTAAGTTATATCTTCAGAGATATTAATATCATCAAAGGCATTTTTGTTGAAGATTCTGCGAAAAAGCACGTAAAAAGATAGAATCAGCTCAGAAAACAAACTGAAACATTACAGTATGAATAATAAAATATTGGAATCTTAACTATTTATTATTCGTTTTTATCAAGATGGATTTAATTAGGCTCTGTTAATGTGGGGAGATTAAAATGTTAACTATATATGACAAAAATAACAAAAAATAAGTTAATATGTTCAAATATTTTGTAAGGGTTTTTGGTTGGGTTGTGAGCGATTCACCATCCTTCCATATCGCTGTGAGCAAGAATAGAACATATCTACATCTGTATTCCGCACAGAAGAGTAGTCGCCCCCAAATGGAACAAGTAAATGTTGAGAGACAATCATATAAAGTAGACTTCTCAGTGTTTAAGTACGCAACCAAATCTGGTTTGCTTTGGTTTATTTTGTTTTACGGCTTATCAACCTCAATGGGTTATTTAATGCCGACAACATTTTTAGGATAGATTCGTATGAATAGAATATGTATTCTTTGGTTTACATTGGTTTGGTTTATTTTGTTTTACAGCATATCAACCTCAATGGGTTATTTAATGCCGACAACATTTTTAGGATATATTCATATGAATAGAATATGTATTCTTTAGCTTAGATTGGTTTGGTTTATTTAGTTTTACGGCATATCAAGCTGAATGGATTATTTAACGCTGACAAAAAAAATTAAAGCTGGTAATATTTTGGTTCTAGTAATAGATTTCCTTCAAAATTGCCGGTAATAATTTTGTTCATAAAAGTATTGCTTGTAATAGTTAACTATTTGCCCATAGCTGGGACCCTAACTGGTTCTACCACCCCGGTTAGGGTGGACCTGGGAACACCAGCAATTATGAGGTGGTTCCACGCACCTCAAATCCTCGTGACCAGAGGCCTTGCTGCTGGACGTATTTTAACGTCTTACTCAGGACTCGGATGTAGTTTAACGTCTTACCCAGGACGAGCAACCGAAACTGGGATATTAACAGTAGAATTACAGTGAAGAAACCAAGCATTATAAAGGAGATGCTATAGATCCATTCTGTTTCACTCATGTCGAATACAGCACCAATGACGATGGACAAGGCCCTATTAGACAAGAGTCAGGCGCGTTGGAAAACCTCATAAGAACCATCAAGTAGAGATTGTTGATATGGTAATGACATATCATAGGAGTCAAAAATCCTGCAACTGGCATCATACAAAATGCAAAAAGGAGAGCTAGACAGAAAGGGAGATAGGCTGAGTGGACTGGAAGGTCATTCACAGAGACTCGGACTTAGGGAAGCAACCGAGTGATTTTCGAGGGAGTTGGTCATTTGCTTACACCGGATCATTTACACGAGGCCAATGCTTTTGATGATGATGATGATCGTGACTTTGTTAAACAGGGTGAAATCTGGACACATGGGAAATCTCATTAAATATATATTTTTTATCTCCACAGATTAAACATGGTTTTGTTGAAAGAAAAAAAAAGACTGACTTTTTGCTGGTGTATGCTAAAAGAGCAGCTGTAAATGAAAATCACTGAAGCAACGTACTTGATTGAATGCACGAAGAGTGAACGTGATAGAACTGAAGGCCATTTGGAGTTATTGCACCAAGTTCGCGTGAATCTTGCCTTTGCATCACAAAGGATGGAAATCATATCGAAGGTGTTATTTATTTATATTTCAGTTCAATAAAATATTGTTGAAAATAATTTCTTGAAAATATGCATTTTTTCTGAAGGTGTCTATTCTTTAGTGACACAACCTGTACATTTAAGCTTCTCAAAAAAAAAAAAACATCAATAGGTTTACTCTTGAAGACGCAGTTTCTATTAAGTCAACATTTATACGAGTTAATACGGAATCATTAAGTCTTAATCCCTACATTAACTCAACAGTTACCAAATTACCGATAAAATAATCACTATAAATGCATTTCTAGAGACATTTAAACAGATTGTGGTTAAAAGAGTGTAGCGTGCTAATATTGTGTAAATAATCTATGATAAAATTATAATAATTGATTTTTATTCCAATACTTTTGATACCTCTGAAGAGTTGACGCTAAAAATCCATCAAACAGGAAGATAGAAAAGTCGTAGTGTTTTTTTTTAATACTCAAATATTTAGTATTGCTGTTTAATTACAGTCTAGATTTAACATTTTCTTGTTCGTTTAGTGGCATAGAAACGACTTATGTGTCTCTTAATGCTGAAATTTAATCTTCTTAGGAACATTAGTAAATTCATTTATAAACATTTACTGTTGGTATTCTTTATTTCAAAAATGTACGGATCACATTTTTTTTTATTATTTTACAAAAGTGTATTGCTGGCACTTTTTTTTTTTTACAAAAATGTATTGCTGCCATTTTTATCTTTTATTTTTTTTTACAAAAATGTATTGCTGCCATTTTTTTCTCTTTTTTTTTTTACAAAAATGTATTGCTGCCATTTTTTTCTCTTCTTTTTTTTTTACAAAAATGTATTGCTGCCAATTTTTCTCTTTTCTTTTTTACAAAAATTTATTGCTGCTATTTTTTTCTTTTTTTTTTTTTTTACAAAAATGTATTGCTGCCAGTTTTTCTCTTTTTTTTTTTTACAAAAATGTATTGCCGCCATATTTTTCTTTTATGTTTTTTACAAAAATGTATTACTGGTATTGTTTTTTTTTATTTTTCCAAAAATGTATTGCTGGTAATTTTTTTTTTTTTTTTTGTTAAAAAAGTTTATGCATGTTTTTTAGTTTTACAAAATTGCATTGCTGTCATTTTTTTCTTTTTATAAAAATGTATTGCTGGTATTGTTTTTTTTTATTTTTCCAAAAATGTATTGCTGCCATCTATTTCATTTTTTTTTTTTTTACAAAAATGTATTGCTGGTATTGTTTTTTTTATTTTTCCAAAAATGTATTGCTGGTATTTTTTTTATTTTTTTTTACAAAAATTTATGCATGTATTTTTGTTTTACAATAATGTATTGCTGTCATTTTTTCTTTTTTTACAAAAATGTATTGCTGCCATTTTTTTCTTTTCTTTTTTTTCCCAAAAATGTATTGCTGGTATTGTTTTTTTTATTTTTCCAAAAATGTATTGCTGGTAGTTTTTTTTTTTTTTTTTTTTTTTTTTACAAAATTTTATGCATGTTTTTTGTTTTACGAAAATGTATTGCTCCCATTTTTTTCTTTTTTTTTACAAAAATGTATTGATGGTATTTTTTTTTTATTTATCCAAAAATGTATTGCTGGGATATTTTTATTTTTTTATTTTTACAAAAGTTTATGCATGTTTTTTTGTTATACAAAATGTATTGCTGCCATGTTTTTTTTTAATATGTTGCTGGCATTTTTTGTTTTTTTTTTACAAAACTGTATTGCTGGCATTTTTACGATGAAAATGTATTTCTATGCATTCATTGTTTTTTCACCCCATTTTCGGGGTGAAATAATTGCCCGTAGCTGGGACTCTCAGAGAGCGTAATATCCGAGTTAAAGTGGACCTGAAAACAATAGCAGTTAAGACGTTGTTCTGCGCTCTTTCTTACTTCCATATCACTTATACTAATTATTTTAATTCACGCAGTACAATGCTTGAGAGATGAACTGTAGTGTTACTGTTAAAACTGTTATGATAAATGAGAAGTGTGCCATCAATAAATGTAGTTAAAATAGAAAGTGAAGAATATGGTAAGATGGATAGATAACGATTTACCCTTGATTGAAGTGGTTAAATATTTAGTGTTAAATGAACCAAACACGAAGGAATCTGTTTCACAAAGAAACAGATCTAGAAATAAATCTGTTTTGCTTCTTACCTTTAGACAACGTAGGATATGTTGTAATTCAATTCATGATGTGTTCAAGCTGTAAACGTTTGAACAGGTGAAATTATACAATAAAAATAATTAGAACATTTTTCATGGAAATAACGATAGATTAGCGGTATGGTTGAAACATTGTATCTGCGGAATAGTGGTTGCAGTGGGCAGCATAAGACAGTCCCCCATAAGACTACATGAACATATTTTTTTACATTTTCTCAAAGTTGGAATGTGATTTCTGAGCAGCTCTTGTCCATATACTCCAGGTTAGAGAAGGTGAAGATCATCTTGAATAAGTTGGAAAATAATCCCGGAATAATATATATGTATTTGAACTTTTTTTCCATCCTTCATGAGCTACCAATTCCTAGCTATAATTAATTAATGATGAACATGTCATTTCGTTCATGATCGATTTCATCACGATAATTTTTTGATCTGTTAAGCTGTAATATACATGAACCTATATATGAATACTTATTTAGCTATCAAAATATATTAGAAAATATTCAACTCAATTCATAAGGTGTTTGGCATGTGTGAGATGAGTTCCAGCAATGACAGTCCAAAGAACAGTGAAAAAGACTTGAAAATGAAATCGTACATGAAACGTGTTACTCCAGGACAGAAAGTTAGAGAGTCAGAGAGGTGAAGATCATCTTGAATACGTTGGAAAATAATCCCGTAATGGTATATATATATATATATATATATATATATATATATATATATATATATATATATATATATACGAAATTTATTTAAATCCTTCATGCGCTTCTGGCCCTTAGCTACGATTAATTAATGATGAATATGTCATTTTCGTTCATGATCGATTTTATAACGTTATTTCTGTGGAATTCTAACTACGACACAGACACGACATTGGTTATTGATAATGCCTGCGATAGTCGAAGTACTTCAACACAAATAACAAAAAATACGGCTTATCCACAACTTTGGGCACGATACTTAACACCTTATTCGAAAAATTGGTAATATATAATAAAAAATAAAAAAGACTGACTATAATGAAAAATCTGGTAAGTCAAAAGTGAGCGCGTAATATCCAAGCTTCCGTAAACATAAGGTACAGAACAAAATGAAACTAGTCTATAAAGGTTGAAATACTCGTTGTCAGAAACTTATGATAATCTGAGATAAGACAGTGACCTTGCCTCTGAAAACAAGAAAATAAGCATGTGATATTCAATGTGTACCTTGTATCTATCTACGTGTGCATTTCACACGGAAATAGAAAAATTGATGACAGGTCATATGTTATATCAGAATGTATCGATCAATTGTTGGTGATCAATTACTAGGAGATACTTCCATGTAGACTGTAGACTTCGTTGCTTCCAGCGAATCAAGTACGGGGAAACAACGTCGGTTGCAGATTGGGAATAAAAAAAAGAATAACAATCAATCCAGTTTCTGCCGTGT